CGCGCTGCGGGTGCTGCCCGCGGGCCTCTTCGCCCACAGCCCGGGCCTGGCCGGCCTGTCCCTGTCCCACAACCAGCTGGAGACCGTCCCCGAGGGAGCCTTCGCCGGGCTGTCCAACCTCAGCTCGCTGACGCTCTCTCACAACGCCATCGCCAGCCTCCCCGCCGGCGTCTTCAGGGACCTGACCGAGCTGGTCAAGCTCAACCTGGGCAGCAACAACCTGACGGCGCTGCACGCAGACCTCTTCCAGAACCTGACCAGGCTCGAGCTGCTCAGCCTCTCCAGGAACCTGCTGGCCACGCTGCCCTCGGGCATCTTCGACAACAACTACAACCTCTTCAACCTGGCCCTGCACGGCAACCCCTGGCAGTGCGACTGCCACCTGGCCTACCTCTCCAGCTGGCTGCGCCAGTACAGCGACAAGCTCTTCAACATCCAGACCTACTGCGCGGGCCCCGCCTACCTGAAGGGCCAGGTGGTGCCCGCCTTGAAGGAGGAACAGCTGGTGTGCCCGGTCACGCGAGACCGCGTGGGCTACCAGGCCCCGGGGCCGGAGGACAGGGAGCCCGGGGACAGCTGGGATCTGGTTGTGGAGGACCGGGCAGCCCAGAAACGGTGCACCTACAGCAACCCCGAAGGCACCGTGGTGCTGGCGTGTGACGATGCCCAGTGTCGCTGGCTGAACGTCCAGCTGTCGCCCCGGCAGGGCTCAGACTCCCCGGGAATGACGTACAACGCCGCTCAGGGGTGGGAACTGAAGTCGAGCTGCGGCTCTGTGAGGGTCACTGTGTCTATTGAGGCTCGGACAGGGGACCCCTAGGTGCAGGGTAGACAGAGCCCGGAGCCCCGTGGCCTCTGGGGCCTGACCAAGCAAGAGGTGGGGGCACAGGGGGAGCTGGAGCTGGGTTTTCAGATGCAAAGGAGGGAGGTCCATGGCCAAGGTGGAGGAGGCCACGCCCACCCTCAGAGTCTCCTCCTCCTCCTCCTTCATCTCCCCCTCTGAGTCTGAGACCTGAACTTCCTTAAGCTTTGCAAAGCAGCCATTAAAGCTGCATCATGGCCTGGAGAATAAAATACGGCCGCTCCCCTGGTGTTTTTCTATTATGTCTATTATTTAATACCCACCCGACTCACCCCCACCCTGGAGTTCCACCCCTGAGGTACCTGCCACCCTCTTTGACATCCAGTTCAAAAGCCAAATGTCTGTTTCTATCCCCCCGCCCCCATTTGTTTTTAATTGATAAAGGAGGCGATAGGAGCACAGGTGACCAGAAAGATGAAGGGCAAGGGTTGGCTCTGGTCTGTTGGGAACTCCTGGCGTGAGCCTCCGCCCACAGGCTGCTTCCGGGTGAAAGGTGCCTTGGGAAGGGAAACACCAGCTGTTTGGCGTTGCTGCACGAAACCCCCAGAGGAGGAGCGGGGCTGCGCCTGCTCAGCAGACAAGATAATTAAGAGAAAACACCAAAACCTCACAGACAGCCCACAGTGTGGTGATTGCCAGAGGGAAAGGGGGTGGGGAGGTAGAGAGTGAAAGGAGACTTGACTTGGGGTGATGAACATACAGTATAGTGTAAAGGTGATGTGTTATGGAACTGTACCCCTGAAACCTATGTAATTTTATTAACCAATGTCATCCCAATATGTTCAATAAAAAGGGGGGAAGGAAGGAAAGAAGGAAGGAAGGAAGGAAGGAAGGAAGGAAGGAAGGAAAGAGGGAAGGAAGGAAGGAAGGAAGGAAGGCTCTGAGAAGAGAGGAGGGAGGACGGTGAATTGAGTGGGCTGGGACGGAAGCACTTCAGTCTTAGTTATCTCACAGCACCTGACTCTGTGCCAGTCATTCACTGAAATTCTTCTCCCTGCTTTTCAGGACACCACACTCTTACTTAAGCTCGGCCATTCTTTCGGTCTTCCCCAGCCACCTCTTCCATGTTTGCCTCCTCAGGGTTCACTGTCCTTAGCCTCCCTGGGCAGTCTCATGCATGCCCTGGAGTCTGATGCCACCCCTACACTGATGACCCCGATCTCCACCTCAGGCTCGGGTCTCTTCGGCCCCCTGCTGAGCTACCTGCCTGCTCAGCAGCCCTGTGTCCTGTCATCACAGTCACAAGCACAGCTAAGCCAACTCTGCCCCTACTCCTCCTGATGCCCACTAGCAAATCGCCAAGCCCAGGAGCTGGGAGCGTTCTCCAACCTCTCCTCCTAACCCTCAAGGCCAACTAATCAAAGAGTGCTTCCAGTATCCCTTCTCCCTTTCTCCTTTCCATTCCCCAGCCTGGAGAGGCGCTGTCTCCCCGCACTGAGTCATCTTGTAGCCTGCCACCTGGTTGCCTTGCCTGCAATGTGGACTGGCTTGGGTGAATGCTGGGGTCAGGGAGGGAGAAATGAATCAGTTGTATAGCTGGCCCTCCAGGAGCCCCAGCTCTGTTGGGAGATACTGGACAAGGCCACATGGGACAAAAACACAAGCATAAAGGGTTCAGTGCTTGGCAAGCCCTGCGGCGTTCAGGGAGGTGGAGGCCTGGGCTATCCCATACCTTAGGGAATGCTGCCTTTGATCCCAGGCCTTGAGGGGCAACAAGTAGTGCAAGGAGGGCACTAGAGATGTGTGCAAGAGGAGTGTGAGCCGAGGAATAGAATCAGGCCAGCGGGGAGGTCAGGGCCGTGGCGTCTGGAGCTGCTATTGGTGGGAGAGGAAAGGAGAAGATATGGCTGGAAAGCCAGCTGGAGCCAGGTTCTGCAAGACCTCCAAGGTCCAAGTGAGAAGTTGGTGTATTTATTAAGGATGCTGAGAAGTTACTGAAGGACTCTGTGCAGGTCCATGCTCCTGCCTGCACTTTAAACGCTGGCTGAGTGCAGTGTGAGGAGAGCAGGAGGCAGGGAAAACAGTGTGGACGTTCCCTGACTTGAGCTCAGAACACGAGGGCCAGGGACGCCAGGGAAATAGAGGTTTCAGCATCTGAGCAGCGCACACACAGATGGCGTAAAAGACCTAAATGTAAATTACTGGATGGGAACTTAAACTATGCAGGCATCACTTTGCAACCATTAATCCTACAAAAATTATAAAGCTGGGTCAAGTCCAGTGTGGGCCAGGATGTGGGCATAGGGGCCCTTCACATACCGCTGAGGACACTCTAGCACAGCGGTTCTCAACCTGTGGGTCACGACCCCTTTGGGGGTCGAACGACCCTTTCACAGGCGTTGCCTAAATACATCCTGCATATCAGATATTTACATTGCGATTCATAACAGTAGCAAAATTACAGTTATGAAGTAGCAACAAAAATAATTTTATGGTTGGGGGTCACCACAACATGAGGAACTGTATTA